TGTTAATGCAGAGATTAGAGCAGTCTGGGGACAAGAGTGAAGTGGTCTGGGGGTGAGGGAGGGTGGACTTGCTTCTTCAGGAGGCAGTGCTGGTTAATGCCAGCTTTAAAGTAGGAGTGCAGGGTGAGATTGAACCCATCAAATTGCAAACTGCCCTTTGGAGTTGGTCTTCAATTCAAATTTTCTTCTGCATGACCTCTTCTGCAGAACTGTGGAGAGGTGTGAAAAGCATGGTGTGCTGGGATTGTACCCCCCCCCTTCAATCTGAAATGGTTTTTTGTTTCAGTATTGCTGTAATTAGAAAAGGCAATGCTTGATCTTCTCCAGAATTTTAATTTAATAACTCGTTGAGCTGGTTCTTGAGCTGATATATATAATCCTTAGTAAAGCCACAATTTTAGGAGCTCCTGGCAGGTTCTACCATAGACAGAAATCTCTTTCCTGAATAGTTTTTCTTCAGAGTTAATAATTAAGTACCTCTTTCTAGCAGTGACTGTTACTGTAACAGCAAACTTTTCTCACAGTCTGGTTCATGGCCTTACTCAGCCTAAACAATGCCGACTCTGTATTCCAGATATTCCCACAGGTAGGTTTTGAACTCGCCTGACAATAGCAGCCTGGAAGGGTTTCTCCCTGCAGGCGACAGGGCTGGTATTGTGCAAATGACTGTTTATATAAAAATAGATTGTTCTTATCACGACTAGGAGCCAGTGACCCTTGAATTTGAAACCTTGCTCTGAGACCTGGCCTTGTTGGCCTTGGACAAGGTATTTGATGTGTGTCCCAGCTGTATTTTAAAGAGAAGAGAACTCATAACTACTCTGATTAGTCCAAATTTCCAATCCTGTGAGACTCTAACCTATGTTCACATGAACAAAACCAAAATCTCACAGGTCAGGGAAAGAAGGACTTTATCCCTCTATGTCCTTTATTGTAGTTTCCCTACAAAATTTAATCTTGGTTTTAGGACTACATACAATATATGGACTTAACGTGGAACAGATCTTTTAGAGCAGCTTTTTGCGTCTGTAAAGATCACTATGTTCCATATTTACCAATGTGAAACTAGACAGGAGGGTTTGTTACTTTGCAGGATCAACAAAATTGCACATAGCCACAATTAAGTTGAAAACTTTAAAACATGATTCTTTGTAGTGGGCGAGTGTTTTGTGTATCTTATAATAACACGTGGGTTTAATGAAGATCCCCTGTGCAATTTGTATCCCCATCGATGATAATTTAAACCCTTTCATATCAAGTTTCAGCCCTTTCCTATCAAGTTTATAATACTTACGACAGTTAAAAATAAATTTAGACACACATATTTAATAAATTAATTTCACATGATGTTTAACAACCACAAGGCTACAAAAAACACGCAAGTCTGTCACTGCTCTTGCTTTTTTCCCCTGCTGTGTCAGTTTGCACTCACCAGAGAACACCTTTCAGACAGAGTAAGTGAGCTCTGGGAGTTGAATTTCTGTTTAATTCCAGCCTTTTATAACGTTCTTTTAGAATTTTTTTTCTTTTTTTAAAGAAAAAGGCAGTTTGATGATCATACCACTTCCCCATGGTTTAGACTGGTTTAAACTCTCCTTAATGGTATGGTGGTAACAAATAGCAGGATAAGAAGTTCCTGGAGAATTTTGTGAAAGATAGAGGAAAAATAAATCTAAAAATAGCATCTGCAAGGGGAAGGCAGCAATCTGAGCTCAGCTTATTTCATCTGACCTGTGGGTCTAAGAAACATAACCTGGCAATACCAGAGTAAACATCCCAGCGCTCCTGCGCAGGTAAAGGGCAAAGTGCTGAGGGAAAAATACAATAAAAGGGTGAGCATATGGCCATCCTTTCAATCTTTCATCTTCCAGCTGTTTTCAAGCACTCCTGTGTCAGAAGTGGTGTTTAAGCAGCTGGAGCTCATGCTTGCTTTGTTCAAGGGACGTGCAGGGGCCAGGGCAGGAGAGCGTCCAGGGCTGGGGCACACTCAATGCACAGGAGCTGAAAAATGTGGACTGAGGGTGAGAGGTGGAGCAAACACTGTTGGGGTGACAGTTTCCATTGTGAGTTTATTTCCAAGTTAATTTGAAATCTGCTTTTATTCATTTACAGAGAAACATTTCTGCACTCAGCGCTTTCCTATACCAAAAGCAGCCACTGATGCTACAAAATACAATCAGTTTAACTATGGGAAGTGTGTGATCTGTTGCTTTTTTAAAGAAAAGGAAAGAAGGCATCCAAGCAATACTTAATCTGTATTTTAGCTATATAGCATCCTTTTGAACCAGTGAATTGCTGGGGGATTAGGAATCTGGGATCCTATATTTTCATTGGCTGTACGAGCCTAAGTAACCAGGCAACCTGCCTTACTTTTTCTGAGGTAAAGGTTTGGTTGTGGAAAATTATTCGGAATATCACAGGAAAAAATTGAAACAGTTTCTGAGAGATAACAACTTCCCTGTGGGAGCTGTGATAATGAGCTTCTCTGGTTATTAAATGGTGGTATTTTCCATTTTCACACAGTTTAAGAGCCAAACATAAGTTTAGGGAGACATCATAGAATCACAGAATGTTCTGAGTCAGAAGGGACCCACAAGGATCATCAAGTTCAACCCCCAAGTACTTGACATCTGTTCCTGAGCAGGCTCTGCCCTGTGTGGGACCTGTACTGGTGTAGTTTCTCCAGTATTGGAATTGTCTTCTTTAAAAACTGGTGTTTAAATCATGTGCTTCTCCATAGTGCTGGTGGGGCTCAGGTTCTGTTCTTTTTGGCACTGTGGATACAGGCTTTCATTATCCTTTCTGTGGTTACTTGTGCATTATTTTACTTTAACGTATATTCCAGAAAACTAGGTGACTTGTGTCTTGTTGATGAGTCTCCAAGGAGTTCTTTGACCCACTGTTTATTAAACTTGAGGACTTGATTCCTGGGAGCTGGTCCTTCGGGCAGTGATTTCCCTTTCTTATTCTATAATGAGATGTTTCTGGGTAGTGTTTGAGTGAAAATCCACTTGCCAAAACCTTGGGAAGTCTTTTCCTTAACTCAACTCTTTATTTGTATGCTGTATAATTGCAGTTTACTGCTCTCTGTTGAATCCATTGCCCTGGAATATGTTGCACTCACAAATGGCTTTAGGGAGAGACAAAACATGTGATTGTCTTTATGTCTTTTTGCTCACACTCACTGGCTTCTTATGCCCTTAAGCAGTGTTTATTGCCCTGCTATATTCTGGGTTCACATTTTTTAACATTGGTAGATAAATAAAGAAGCCATCAAAATGTTTAGGCTTTTTATTGGCTTAAGGTGCTTTGGAGAGCAACATTAATCTACAGTTCAGTGAAGCAGAAAAAAAAATGAAATACTCCCTCAAGAGTTTTCTTTTGTAAATAGGGCCTTGCATTAAGCTGCTGTGAACTGGCATGCTTTCAGATTTCTGAATGCACAGTTTTTGTCTTCATTAGTAATTATAGCTGAGGGTAATCACACTGGAATTATTCTTCATCAGAAATAACAATAAGGCTTGATGATGTAGGGATGTGATGTGCTTTGGAAATACTTGCCCTTGACCTCAGGCTTTGGCCCTGTCCAGCACACGGGCACCTTCAAATCCTGAGAGTGGCAGCCTTTGATCTCTGGAATCACTGCCTTGGAAATGACCAGGCTCTGAGGGGGACTGACTAATCTGGTCCTGATATTTGCTTGGCTCAAACTAAACTGTTAAACACAGTAGTAAAAAACGTTCTCTTAGTTCTTGCTGTTGTTTGGCTTTATTTACTTTGGGGGATCTGGCTGTGAGATCATTCTGGAAAACATATACTTGGATATCTCAGTGCACTCACCTGCTATATGAGTGACCTTGGTCAAGTCAGTTCGCCCTTCTGTGCTTTCCTTTTGCCTTAATGTCTCTTTTTAAATGTGAGTTGACAGTGGAATTGGTTGTTTGGTTTTTTTTGTTTGTGTTTTTTTTTAAATTTATTTATTTTTTCTTTTCACTGAGGGTTTTTTTTATTAAAAAGCAGAGAAGTTGTCTTGGGAGATTTCTTAAGGAAAAAAATGAAAAAGAATGGTATGTTTTTCTGACCTCTTAAAAACGGAAAAAGTATATTGGTACCAAGCACTGCAAAGTTCATGGTAGTCTTTTAGATTTTTTTTTCCACCCTCAGTATAATTTTTATCCTCATTTTTCCATAGAATAATAACTTCAATTTCCTGGAGAAGCTTTGAGTTTGTGGGGCAAGAAAAATTCTATTGGTGGTGTAGCTGGAAAAACCCAGAAGGAAAATATTCTGCTGTTCTTACTGTGAGAACTTTGAATGCAAATGTCTTTAGTTTGGACTAAAATTACTTTCATTTCAGGCTAATCTATATCACAGATTAGAAATGTTTCTAAACTCTGTATTCGAGTGTGTTTAATAGACAGATTTGGGTAGTGTTGATAGAAAAGGATGTTATGTGAGCCACAAAACACAGAGCAACATCTGTGTCTGCCTGGCTCCCTGTAGTATTTCATATTTTGGTTAATTCCACTGTTTGAAAAAACTGACTTTTGCTGAAGCCTCACCTGTGCAGTTTCTCAATGTGTACAGGATTATGTTAGTTTAGCACTTATATTAATTTCCTGAAATGTCTTTTCACTGGGAAAAGGAGATTTCAAAGCCAGACCTTGTTCTAAGTACAGTTTACAACAGTGCTAGTTAGGACTGGCTTTCTGGATCCTTTGGGAGGTTGGGTGTTCCTGGGAAGAAAGGTCATCTTACTTTTTATTACTCTTTTTTTGCTTCTCCTGTCCTTCCTCTTCTGCAGTAAATTGGTAGCCAGATTTATTTCCTTTACACTCTGCCTCCCCACATAATTGACAGACAGAAATAAAAGGAGGATAAACCATAAAACTCCCTTGTTAAATGCATGCTATTTCCAAGAAAGCAAAACTTTGTGGTTGGTTAATCTTTAAGACTTTAACTATAACTTTTTTTTTCCTTTTTCTCCTTTGTATTGGCAGGGTAAAAAACTTGAACATGCCTCGTAGCCCAACATCAAGTGAAGATGAAATGGCACAAAGCTTTTCTGACTATTCTGTGGAATCCGAATCAGACAGTTCCAAAGAAGAAACTATTTATGACACAATTAGAGCAACTGCAGAAAAGCCAAGCAGCAGAATGGAAGACAGTCAGAGCAACACATTAGTGATTCGAATTATAATACCTGACCTGCAGCAAACGGTAAGGCAGATTAAAAAAAACAAAAAAGTAAAATTTAATTGTTAGCTTTGCTGCTTCAGTCTGCAGTAGATCTGTTCTCTTTTCTTGTGATTTTTTGACATACTACAGGTAAAATTTATGCTGTGTTTTCTTTTAATCTCTACACTTTGTACCCCAGTGGTTTATCTGACTGATTGCCTGACCCATCCCCTCTAAGGGAGTGAATTTAGTGTGTTAACTTGATGAAAGCTGTGATCATAAAGGAAAATATCTGTCTGATCTGCATTTGGGTAGAAGAAAGAAAATTAGGAATCTCATCAGAAGAGGAAGATTGAATCCAGAAATTACATTTTATCTCTGTGAAAGCCTCATACATGTATAACCCCACTGGCTTCTCTCTTCTCATGAGATTGTGATTGACATTCGACTGGGGTGTAGCACGAGGTCATAAAATTCTCTCTCTCTCTTTACCATATTTGTTGTCTTTCTCTGCCACCCTCCCATAAAAAGACATCCTTGTTGGGTAGCCGGCGGCTTTTAGAGCTTAAAGACGAGAGGAAAGAGAAGCACAAATAAATCTTTCTTTCCTCCTTTGCTGCTGTGCCTTTACGACACAGTGTTGTTTCTCAGACTTCTACCCAGAGAAATCAACATCCTCAGCGTGGAGGAAGAACAAAGGGTGGCATCAAACTGTTCCACAGGTTTCACAATGTCATGAAGTTGTTATTTTATTCTTTCCCACCTCCTCATTGCTTATACTGGAAACATCAGAGAGAACCCTTTCCTGATTTTCGCAGAGGAGTAATTTGTGAGTTAACCTGTGGAACTATGGGTGTATCTCACATCCCTGAGTCTGTAGGGGTGAAATTGGGGACTTTTTAACTAAATATTTAATCTCTCACATCGTACAAAAAGAATTGAAAAGACTTTTCATTTGTTTAATAATGTCTGATTAATCGAGTAAAAGAGAATAAAAAGTGTTTTTTAATTAAAAAAAGTATCTTGGATGTTCCTTAAGTATTAGAAATCTACAGCCCAAATTCCTCTCAAGGAACTATTAAGTCACGTTTCTTTTGTGGTTGAATGTGTAAAATTCAAGGCCTGGAATGTCAGGAGAATAAAGGTGGAGAAGTTTGTTGTTGTAACTTTACAATCATTGTCCTCCCCAAGTGCCATGATAGGAATAACAGTATCATCCTCAAAAAGGTCTTGGGAGTTACTTACTGATTCTGTCTGGAACCATAACTTGTCCAAGTTTGTGATTAATTGTCTAAATTACCCTGGGTCTCCTTGAATGCTGATTTTCAATGGTAGACATCAGACTATTTTAATTTCAAAGATGATTATAAAAACACATTCATTTTGTGGATGTGTGCCCCATACATCACTCTGTGCTGACATTTAAGATCTACATCACACTGTGCTGCCATTGAAGATCTATCTCAGATGAAATTATTCCTTTCTTTTTAATTAAGTTCATTTTTGGAGTGATAGAGATGGCCTGTCTGCAGGCTGACAGGGGAAGAACTGTTTTGACAACACGCCCTCAGGTGTGGTTGGAGCTTTCTTTTTAAAGCCCAACCTACAGTGCTCAAGAGAAATCAGTATTGGAGCTAGGGGAATTATCTCTGATTCTTGCACTTAAAAAATATCTTTTAGATGGGGATCGTGGTTGGAATTGCAGTACCATCCATGAGTTTATGTGGTATGAGGTTAAACTCTATGAAGAGGAAGGGTGAGGGGCCTGCTGTGAGCCACACATGGAATTTTGATTAAATTCTGACTGCAGCAGCCATCACCTTGGGTCTTTCATTTCAGTATTGATTGAAATACTGAAATCCACTGTTGTACATCTTAAATCTAAATGGATTTTTGCCAGTAGTGAAGTCCTCAACCAGGATAAACTCTAACTGGACATGATTAGGATTTTATTGATGATTTTGCCAGCTTGCTCTATCTGTGACCGTGTCAGTGCTCAATGAATTGATTCACTAGAATGGAAATATTAGCTTTTCTTTCTAGGTTTACTCTGATGTTAAAAACCAGAGAGATGTTAGCTTCCTGAAGCCCTCTTATTTCATTACTCTGTGTTTTAGAGTTATTTTATAGTTATTTAGAGCTATATTATAGAGTTAGTTATTGACACTATTGAGACTTTTTTTAAATTAATTTTTTGCAGGAAATGAAATAAACCAAAAAGCATTTTTGATTTTGTGTTTCATTTGTTCCTTTTTATTGCTTTACTTTTTGTACTTTTTTTTCCTTTTCAATAGGCTCTTAATGAAAAGTACCTGGATTGCTTTAAAGAAACAGTTCTATAGCAGATGATCTATTTCTGATTTAATTTATTAGCTCTTTGTACAGAGATTCAGCTTAGGAAACAGGAAGGACTGGTGGCTTAAATGTGGGGTAGGAAACTGTGGAGAAGATTATAGTTTATGAACTGTTTTATAACTACAAGCCAGAGCCAACATACACCCCATTTCCTGTATAATTACAATTAATTTAACATACAAGGTGTTTAAAATTAGTCTGTTTAATCAAAGAAGCATGAAATGACATGATTTAGTTTTATGCTTTTTTAGTTCTTTAGCAAGTGTTATCCTATATTTGTTTAAAAGAAAACAAGTTGAAGGTTTTTAGATAAAATTCAATCCCCTGGGGAGCTATCACTAGGATCCCCTTAGCCAAAATCACTATGAATAAAGTTTGCTCATCTACAGTGGCTGTGGTACAAATTGCCTTTATTTCATTGCAGGTGTGAGATAAGCATCAAGCACCACAAATAGGATGTGCTGCTATAGAAAACTTCATAAATTATCACCCATTGTAGCAAATCTGTCTTGCTGCCCTTTTAGTCTCATTTGAAACTTTTAAAGATCATGTAAACCTTGACGAGTTCATACAAAACCCTTAAGAACACTTAGTTTTCAGTTCTTTTTTGTCCCCTTTTCAGTTCAGGTGATAATTCATTTTATTGAAACAATGCTTTGTAGAAAGAATAATTTCTTATTACTTCTGTGCATCACCTGCATTCAAGTGTCGCCCCTAGCACAGGAGTATGGAGAATATTTAAATGAGCCACTGAAAGATTTCCTGAGCTCAGTGAAATTACCGAGGGGATGGAGAGCATAGAAAACCCTCCACATCCACAAATACATTCATAGAAGAGTGGGGCAAAAAGCTGTATTATTTGACATTTAATTTCCTGATTTAATAAACCTGGAGGCTCAGCAGGTGTGATTTCTTTTGACAAGAAGCTTGTTTGCATCCAGCTCAGAGGGCTCAGGCTTGACTTGACCCCAACCACCTGCTATTGAGATGGAAATGGCAGGTACTGAGAGTAGTTCCTTCCCTCTTTGCAATATTCAGTTGTGTTTACCCTTAAGGTGGAGATGCTTCATTCCCAGGGCAGCCCAGTTCAGTGTCACACTGCCAGGGCATGGATTGGTGGCAGGTTGGAATCCTTCCTCCCTGTAAGCAAAGCTGGCAGTCAACAGCCCCCAGTCTCCTACCTTGTGCCTAAATCTATTGTGCCTGAAGGCAATTGTGCTTTTGCCTGGTGGCAGTCGTCTTTCGGACATTGAAAATTTGGTGAACTGATGTGTTTGTGCTTTCCTCTCTGATGCCTGGCATAACTTCCCCCTCCCTGGACCTTTTTGGTCAGAATCCCAGCTAAGTCATCTTGTATCCATTTCTTTTTTCAGCCTATGTGGGAACATATCACAAGTGATTCTGCCTATAAGTGGAATGAATCTGGTTCTCCTCCAGTAACTGTTGTCAAGAAAATCTCCTTTTGCGTGATATTCTGTCAGGGATGATGTTCTGTGCCTAAAATTGCTTTTTTTCACAGATATGGAGATCAGTTTTTTCAACCAGTTGTTTTAAGGAATGTTTTCATCAGTTTATTATCAACACATGGTTGTTCCACTCTTTTGTTTTACCCTATATTTACGTGCTCCCTTTGGGTAATGTTTAAAGTTAAAATGCTCAGAATCATATTTTATTAAATTCTGATGCTGAGATGGGATTAGGTCTGCTGAAGACTTCTTTCAGGTGGTTTCTGCCCATCTGTTTTACTGCTCTACTGCAGTAATGAGAATTTATTGACTCCAAAATGTTGTTTGGTAAGTGGCAGTTTGGTAAAGAAATAACATAGCCTGTAGCTACTTCTTGGTGTTCTATTTCTGCATTGCTTTTTATCCTTTTGCATCCTTTCTTTCCCCTCCCCCCCCAGTACTCACTGGGTTTTGTTTGGTTTTTGGGTTTTTTTGGGGTTTTTTTTTAGGATTAAGAATCTTTTCCTTAAATGTTTTTCTTTTTTAACTAAAACTCACATTTAGTTTGTGCATTTTTTACCTCACAAAGGCGATTGTTGCAATTGCAGCTTGAGTCCCTGTCTCAGTTAAATGAGACTGAAGTGTTTTGCTGAGGAGGAGGAGTTATGAGGAAGACCAAGCTCCTCCCTCTAAGCAATTGTAAATCCAAAATTAAGAGACTCCAATTGAGGAATTATGGAGAAAGGAAAAAAAAATAACAGCCCTTTATTAAAGGATATATGTGTATTGGCAGAACAACAAAAGAACACAAAAACAACTAAACAACAATCCTGTACCCAAAAAGTTCCCATCCAAAAGGGAAACAGTTCGACCCTTCTCTGTCCTCGGGCGCGATTCTGACCGCGGCCAGCAGGGGGCGCTGTTGGGTCACTGGGGAGCAGAGCCTGCAGTGGTCGGGGTTGGCCAGCAGGGGGCGCTGTTGAGCTCTGGTGGTCGCCGCGTGAGGCCCCGGGTGTGGGAGAGGCCCAAAATGGAGATTTTCCCACACACACACCGAGAAGGGAAAGGGGAAAAGGGGAAAAAAGGGGCTCTTCCCACAGACTCATGCTGTTAGCGTCTGGCTCTGGCCGGGACTCCCCCCCCTTGTCGACGGGCACAAGCTGCTGCCAGCATGGGAGTGGAGGAGGGAAGGGGCGGTCTCCTCCCTCAAAGGTTCCTTTGCAGAAGAGTCAGACCTCTCCGATGAAATTCAAGCAAGTCCAGGCTGGGGACAGAACAGGACGCAGGAGAACGGAGGCGAACCGGGGCCAGAAGCAGCCAGATGACTGTAGGAAAAATCCTTGCTTTCAATTTATGAAATGGCAAAAAATACTTGCAGGACAAGGAAAATTGCAGCAAGAAATTTTTTATTGCAGCGCTGAGTGCAATTCCAAGTCACATGCCTGGAAAAAGCACACGTGGTTTGAAAAACGTGCTCTTTTTGTACCCTCTTGGTTACCTAAGATGGTAAATATTGGAGAGGTAACAGGTATTTTACCTTAAAAGGTAACTTTTCGAATTCGGGAGGGGGCATACATGTACAGGGGGGTCTCTCTGCACACAAAGGCTGGCCATGCGGCCAGGGTATATTTTCCATTTTTATATTTTTTCCCTATCCCGACTGCGATGTTTTCCTGGCGTCAGGCCCGGACGGGGCCTTTCCCCTTACAGCATCCACGAGGCACCTAAAACCCTTGGAATTAAATGAAAGAAAAGTCCCACCACCCTCTGTTTTTCCACTAAATTCATTTTGCTTATAATAAAACCAGATTATTTATTTCTCATAATGACCCAGCCAAAACGAAAATGAACTTCAGAACCGCCCCCCACCCCGAGTCAGGGCAAAAGTTCAATGTCTGCCGTTTCCGAGGAGAGAGAAAAAAAACCCCCTCATGGCCCATCGCTCCCCCAGTCTTCTGAGGGCCATCAGCTTGGAATGTGGGTCTGCTGGATAGTTCTCTTGCGTGTGTGAATCACCCTGGCCAAACCACCCTCCCCCTCCCTCGTTCAATGTCTTTCTTTCACGGTGATGCAGGGGAAAGAAAAATTCCCCGCTTGGTTTTTAGAACAAGTAAACCTATGACAATCCCATTTTTGCTTAGGATGCCTCCGTTTTTACTTGTTTCCAGTATCTTTAGCACTCCACTGCCTCAAATTTATGCCAGGTTTTCCCTTGCAACTTTCCACAAGTATTCCTCTGTATCCCATTTCGTGTCTGACTGTCCATTGCTGCTTTCTGTTTGCAGCTGATATTCCTCCTTTTTATCTTCAGTTTGATAATGGAAACATTGTGGATGCTGCTGACATCTGTTCCCATGCCCTTGATCTGGACAGGTGATCTGACTTGCCAGCTGATGACAGTGTGGCCAAACTGCTTTTTTTTGACCTTTCCTCTCATGAATTCTGTGTTTCCTGAAGGCATTTTGATGAAGGAAAGAAGTGTTTCTGAGAATTAAGTTGAACACTGAGCACAAATCAAAATGAGTGACTTGCCTTTTTTTTTTTTCTTTTCCTGATGCCAAACTCTCATTTGCCTTTTCCACTTTTTGGTTGTCACATCTTTAATATCAACATTTTCTATTGAGAGGAATAACTTGTATTTTGATAATCTGGCAATCACATTTTGGAGGCAGCTGTACAAACCATTTGTCATGTTCCTCTGTCACAGCACAGCTCTGTGTGATTGACATCTTCGTGAGGCTGATGAGAGAGATGTGTTGGTTGATAGATTTTTTAAACGGATAAATGTTATTCCTCAGAGATTCTATATCATGAACGTCATTCCCATTGAATTAATATCTTCTCTTTAGCTGGGGTGGATGAATTGTATTTTTCCCCTCCTTTCAGCCCTTCTGTTGTGCTCAGTGACTTGCTCTCACCCGTGTGCAGGAATAGGAGATTATAATTGACCACATCTCTCCTGATTCAAAGAGCTTCATATCAAAAACCCAGCTCTTGGATTTCAGCAACCAGTGCTGACGTGCTGTCGTGCTGCTAGTCTTGGGTTTTGAGTGGCCTAGTGTGGTTTTGACAGTGGTTTTGATCCACTCAGGCCTTCTTTTTTGGTTCTTATTTGAAAGAACTGTTGCAATTTTTGCAGGGAATGGAGCTGGCAAACCAGCGCATTCCCTCTGGCCTTGGGATGCAACAAAAAGAATGGAATAAATAGATCCCACATCCGTCAATGCAAAACATCTTTATGTTTCACTGTAGTTCTTATGTGTTTCTGTTGTTCTTTATCATTAAATTATCCCTAATTTTGGGGGTTTTTTTGAAGTTGTTGAAGATTAGAAAAAGTTGACCAGCTTTTCTGACTCAGCTGCTGTTATTTCCTTGTGGTCACTGTGCCATGTACATCTAATAAATTCTTACTTATTTGATAACTAAAGCAATCTGTGTGTAGATTCTGCTGGCTTCATTGGAAGCATAAATAATCACTTTTCTCATTAGTTCCACTTATCTAAATCTGAGACATTTTGGTAGCAAAGTTATTTGGTTATTGATTTGATTTTTACATCATTGATCTCAATTCATTATAAATTACTAATATGATCAATATTCATTTACATTTAATGCATTTTTGTTTCTTGTGAATTACTAAAAGAGCAAGGGCTGTTAATACATTGTAAAATTACTAGTTTCAAAGTGTTTCCATTTATTCTGCCATTGAGGACTGTAACATATTGTAGTCAGGGTGGTAAAAATACAGTAGTAGTGTAGTTACTAGATAACTAATTTTAAAACAAGCCTTTGAACTACTACACAAAAAGAATTCCTCACTGTCTTGTCAGTCCAGTGAAGGTAGTCAAACTCTTATGTCTTGTCCTCATGCTTTAAATGGATGTGCCATTGTCAGATTTGTGGAAAGCAAAGTATTCCAGAAGGTAAATATTGTGTATTACCAATGCAATGTGCATAAACACCATAAAAAAGATTTATTTTCCGTTGAAATCTATTATGAAGAAATCAGAAATTATTTATAATTTTGCCAATTTAGCAGATATTTGGAGATTAGAAATACACACCATTATCTGCAGTGTTATCAAGGACAGATAAAACACAAGTATAGACTGAACAAAATTGAACATGTTGAATTCTCAAGGTGCAGAAGTGGGGGCAGAAGTGTGGGCAGAAGTTACTGTTTTGTATTTTTAAAATCAAAAGAGTGTCATACAAGTCCAAAATTAGTTTGTATCGTGCAAGAAATACTTTCCTGGTGGAAAAAACCCCAAACTTGTAATTTCAAAATTATCTTTGTCTCTTCCTATTTGAATAACATTTCTTATACTCTTTCAGAATGTGTGGATAATGTTAGAAGTTAAGTTCATAACATACCTTGTAACTGATAATTTTGAGAGTTGCTGGAAACTGCTGAAGTTTGTATTGAAGTTTGAATCCATGTAAGAGTCGCGGGGAAAGTGAGGTTCGGAAGGAACACAGGGATTTGAAATGGGATAAGTTGGTATTGTAACTAATGGGATGTTTGTGAATGAAAATACTGTTTATAATCAACTTTCTGTTTCCCTCTCTCCTTCCCTTCAATGTCTAACCCCCCCCCCCACTTTTCACAAAACACCTTGAATTATAAAATATTTGAGGGGAATGAAAACTGTCTCCTATCCAGCTTTATTTGTGACAAAATCTAACATCTCATGTGCTTACATTTGCTCTGATGAATATATAAGAAGGCCTGGTTGACTGCAGTGTTTGCTCAGTTAAAACCAGTTGTAAATTGAAAGTCCTCCATGGCCTGGTTGTACTTTTTACTGCTGAAAAGTTTTGCCACATACTATTGCAACAGCCAAGAAGACACTGTGAACATAGAAAATATTGTGATTTCTGCCTTTGAATTTGCTTCTCAAATTTCCGAATTGAATTATTCAAATGAATTTATTATGTGATTTGTGCCTATGTGGTCAGACATGCCTGCAGAACTCTGTCAGGATAAACATGTTTAGTTGTAAATGAAAGACTAACATTTTCTTATGGAGGGCCTCAGGACTTTAAAAAGATGCCAACAGATAGTGTAGGTAAAGTTAAAGGAAATATTTCACTCTTTATTAAACATCAATCTTATTTGTACTTGTACTTTGTGTACAACTATAATATGGGGAGTAGCAGGGGCCTTCAGAAAAGGCCTCAAGAGTGGTTACTGACATTACTACTGTAGTACCTCATGGAAATGTATTGAGAAAAAAAGATATATATCCATTAACATTTTTCTTCAGTCCATGTGCAATCCCTGCATCCCATATTGAATCATGAGGGGACAGAGAACTGGAAAGGATTTTCAAGTTTTTCACATCCTCTCTTGCTTCACAGTTCTCTCTGTTCCTCCCACAAACTTACCCTAAGATAAATGCAGCAAAACATGAATTAGAATTATTGCCTGAATATCATTTTTTGGGAACAATTCTTGTGGATAAAACTGATTGTCATATCAGAACATCCCAGAATCGAGTGGATAGTTAAACATCTTGTAACATCCCTTTTTGGACAGGTTTTCCGTGAAGGTCCTCTCTCTCTGAAGAAGAATATGGTCTCTGGTATTTTGTGGAAAGACTTGAAACATCCTGTGTTTTCACAGTACTTGTGCATTGGTTATTATAAATGCACATCTAAAATATAATTCTGTTGATGTATGTTTTGGCATGGAATTTGTAGATTTATTGTGTATGTTTCTAACTATTTATTGCATTTGTAAATTTTAGACTGTAAGGTATTGTTTAAATATTTTTTCATTAATTAGTCTTCTTAAAAATAATTTCTCTTTGCAGAAATGCATTAGATTTAACCCAGAAGCTTCAGTGTGGGTTGCAAAGCAACGGATTTTGTGCACTTTGAATCAGAGTTTGAAAGATGTCCTGAATTATGGACTGTTCCAGCCTGCAAGCAATGGTAGAGATGGGAAGTTTTTGGATGAGGAACGACTCCTGAGGGAATACCCACAGCCAGTGAACAAGGGAGTTCCTTCACTTGAGGTATTTATGTTTGCAGTAGTAGGGAAGCAGTTGCTGGATAACCAGCCTTTGCTTTCTCCCAAAGAGAAGATCTTTCTGTCTCAGTGAAGGCTTTTTTCCCTGTCTAGCTCTCTCTGCCATCCTTCAGAGTGCACAGATTTCCTCTGTCTGTCTCCTGGGAAAGCAAGAAGGGAGGAGAGGTTGTGGATGTGGAGCAGTCACGTGTGGGCACTGGAATTTCCCCCCTCTCTGTTGCTCATGCAGCTGGGGATAAACTGGGCAGAACTATTATGGCACTGGAAAAATATGGAGCAGAGCCAGATCACGCAGAAACACACTATAGCAGGAAACTGGGGCATGAAACTGGTGTTTAATTAATTTTGGTGTTGCCTGTATGGTGGTACATCAACCACTAATAATGTGCAGTTAATAAACTTACTCCAGTATAACACAAATTCAAGAGAAAAGAACCAGGGCCCTGAGAAAGCTTTGAGTTTTACATTTTCTAGCAGTTTATTTCAGAGATTCAATCCCTGATGTTCATATTAAAGCTGCAAACAAATTAAATACCCACTTAAATGTTGATTTTTGAAAAAAAATTTTTTTCCTGTCATGTTGTTTCCTGATTGTTTGCAAAATTCTCATTGCAGCAATTCAGGAGTTAAAAGTGTGAAAAGCTGGTGTTAAAGCCTCATTCAGTGCAATCCCCTTGTCCAACAGAAATGTGGCATTCTTTGAATTCTGCATAGGACAATTAGTAAATTATAGTAATAAATTTTATTAGTAGTAAATTTTAACTATGGAACCTCCCCCCATGGTTTTTGCTGCAGTGGTCATAGGGTAGAAATTGCTCAGGGTAAAACGTGAGTTTCAGAAAAAAAAAAAAGAGACAATCCTCTGAACCTCATTCACAAAACAAGTCCTGTTCCACATCAGGACAACTATTCCCATGTTTGTAAAGTTCCTCCTACACTGATTTTTCAGGAATCCTTCTTTTTTTTTTTTAATTTCAGAAATGCTAAACTGATATTTTGAAATGTGTATTTTTTTATTTAACATGCCTTCCCAGTTCTTTCTGCCTGAGACTATAAATGAAAGTGCCTGGAAATCCTCAGGGAAAAGCTCTTCAGTGTAATCCTTGCTTATTTATGTAGATTCTAAAGGCTGATTTCCTCCTCTGATTTTAGTATAGTCATATGAGATATGAATTTTGCTTAAATGAACTGTAAAATTATGATGTTGATATGTTAAGCAGATTGCTGATTGTTGGTGAATATTCAAAATGAAATACCAACCTTTTTTTTTTGTTTAGCCTAAGTCACATGATTGTGGATAAGATCAGAAAATTATGAGTTCTAAGTTTTAAAATTTATTCTTCTTTTCCTCCCTCAGTTTCGATACAAGAAAAGAGTGTACAAGCAGTTCAACTTGGATGAAAAGCAGCTGGCCAAGCTCCATACCAAGGTATTCCCAACTTCCTGGAGAATTTACCAATTGTCTGCTCAGTAAAGTAATGTGAGAAACTGGAAATAAGTAGGAGTTCATTACCAAATGCTGAAAAACAAACAGCTTGTGCTGCCAATTTGTGAATTGTAATCTGGAAACCTTTTCCCATAGAAAAGTTCCCATGCTTGATTCTTCCATATATATATATATATATATATAAAAATATATATATAAAGATAAAGATAAAGATAAATATATATACTGAGAGGTCTTTTCCAACCTAGTTGATTTTGTGATTCTATGATATAAATGTAATTTTAAATGAACCTTCCTTTGTAAATCCAGTGTGCTTTCCACATGCTGCAAAAATGCAGATCTGGGTCTTTAGACCCTAGCTTTGCAGATCAGAATAATAATAATGATCACCAAACACCAGCCTAATTTCTTACTGAATGAATCACTCATTTTTCCCTTAAAACTGTAAAAACAAGACTCTCTTACGTTGACTTTTGAGCTTTGTAAACAATAACTTTTATGGTCTCAGTATAAAGTCATTCTCCAGGAATGTGTGTTAACTACTTTCAGTGGTGTCAATGGGTGTTGACATCAACTGACAGAATATTTCACTTTTAGTCAAAATTTTTATATTTAAAATCAGAGGATGATTAATTTGTCACTCTTTGTTTCAGGCTAATTTGAGAAAATTCATGGATCATGTCCACCATCTCTCTGTGGAAAAAATGACCAAGATGTTGGACCGAGGACTGGACCCCAACTATCATGATCTGGAAAGTGGAGGTCAGAACAATAAAACGAATACCTTGAGTTTGTTAAAACTGAAGTGATTAACAGGTTGAACTTCACGCATCCTTTCCCTTGCCTTCAGAACTCTGGGCTAATGGCATCTGTGTGGTTTTGCTGTCCAGAGGAGATAACTGATAATTTATGGTTTTCTTTGAACAGCATTTTTAACTTGGCATTTTTTAAAGCAAATGTTCTTTATTGTATAATTTTGCTCACCTTTTTCCAAGTACATGCTTTTTTTTTTTCTTTAGAAACACCCCTAACTTTGGCAGCTCAGCTTGACAATACAGTAGAAGTGATAAAAGCTCTGAAAAATGGAGGAGCACATTTAGACTTCAGAGCCAAAGATGGAATGACAGCTCTGCACAAAGCAGCCAGGGCCAAGAACCAAGTAGCCCTCAAGGTAAATGCTTTCAATACCAAAGTATATATTATCTTATTAAAAAAAGATACATAAAGGAGAATATTTTCAGTTAATTACTGTATTATCCTTAGTGGATCCTTTAATATGTCCTTGTGCTTTCTTGTGCCTTTCAAATCTTAGGATTTGCTTTCAATAAAAGGCCTTTTCACTTCTGGTTTTGTTTTTTTTTTAGTAGGAAGAAAAAGGGGTGAAATTTAAGCTTATTCATTGATACATTGGGAAAGATCTGTCAGAGGAAATAGGAATAGAGTTATTGTCACTTACCTCTTTGAAATCAGATGCCCGTGGCCTGGATTACACATTATATTTTAACACAGCCTCTTCTATTTTCTTTTGTATTTTAACAAGTATTCTTAAATCACACTGATAGTCTTGATTAAGCCGTAGGTTTATGGCTTTTGCTCATTTCCTTTTGACAGATACTCAAATAGCATGACATTTTTGATAAAGCACCTTGTAGCTCAAGAGGTGTATGTGATGGAAAGGTGATGTGGTATTTGCAGAATTGAGATTTCTGAACTTAGGGAGAGAATGGAAATTGGACTCATTGCCACTCATTCTTTCTGTGCTATCCCCGTAGATCCTAATGCTTCCAAGGTCATTTCTTCATTAAAAAATTTCTTGCTTAAAATGGGCTGGGGCACAATTTAACAGCTGACAAATAGGTGAGCAAGTATCAACCTTATAAATACTTTTTCAGGTAAAGACCCTTTATAGGTAGAAGTGCCTCCAAAATATATTTTTCACAGTCTGTGATTGCTTTCAGACCCTTTTAGAGCTGGGAGCATCTCCCAACTACAAGGACAGCTGTGGCCTGACCCCGCTGTACCACACGGCTGTCGTGGGAGGGGATCCCTACTGCTGTGAGCTCTTACTCCATGAACATGCCACAGTCAGCTGCAAAGATGAAAATGGATGGCAAGAAATCCATCAGGTGGGAAAGATTATGCTTTGCTTGGAGCTGAACTTGCATGAGGAAATGTGCCATGTTTATTCTATGTTTCAGCACCATTTTGAAGGCCCTTTGGGTACCTTTTAGTCCATGCATTTAAGTACAGAATTTCTTTCCTTTTCTATTTGCTTTTTCTGGTTTTGTTTGTTTGTTTGTTTGTTGGGGGGTTTTTGTTTATTTTGTTTTGTTTTGTTTATTCACTATGCATCCTGCTGTGGTGAATTAGAAGTGGAAACTGTTCCAGTGCAGTTCTGTAACTTTGAAATCCTATGAGTACTGTGGATTTTGTTGCAGAAATTGCACTGGTCGTATTTATGTCATGGACTCTTGAAGTTTAACATCTGGTTTAGCAGCACTTCAGTAAAAGAGTGTAGCTTTTAGTTAGATGCCAGTGTTGGTATCCTTGGCAATGCTTCTTGTGTGTGTGTCAGAGTACTTTCTCCTTTGTCTCTGGTGAACTTTACAGGAGGATTTGTGTTCAGGATCCTGCTGCTGGGATCCTTCAGTTGTTGCACTGATGGATGTTAAACTCTTACAAACTCACAGTTTGAGTCAGTTTTCACTCCTTCTGTGTGTGAAAACTGGGTTCCTAATACTTTTCCTTTTGCTGTTTGGGTTTTCCTTTCCTCTCTTACATACTCAGTGTGTGGCTAAAGTGATAGTGTGCTCTATAATGAAAAATTTTTTTTAAAAGTAACGTTCTGAGATTCGTAAAAACTTATATCTTTGAACTCTTATTGTCTTTTCCAGAAACATCTGAATATTATACAGCAGTTGTGTAAGAATGCTTTATTAATTTCTCTGTGCATAACGATAAACTCAATAATTTACAAAATTTAAAGATTGTAATAATCCCAATGTCATTGCAGCTACTTTATACCTTTTCTCTGTATGGATGAGTTTGAGTAATCATAAAAATTCTGAAGATAAAGACAAGAATTCCCTATTTTTAAAACCCAGCCTCATACACGTAAGGCCATTATTTCTTGTAATAAAACAGAGCTTTCCAAAACCACTCTATTAGTTGTAATCCTAAATAAATCAAAGTTTACACCTGCATTAGGGGCAATCTGTTTTCAGTAATCAATAATCCAAGCATTTCTCAATGAATTAAGAAGGATGGTGATATGATACAGTCCCATATGTTGTTGTCTGTGTGCAGAAGCTGAAGTTACCTTGCATGGCAAGGAAATAATTGCTAGCAAGTATAGTTGTCATTTTGCTAATGCAATCTTTAGCTTTTGGAGGCAAGTCTCTGTGTTACCCTTATACTAAAGGGGAAAGATGGCAGTTCATGTAGGGCCAGGATAGTAATAATAAGGATGTCCTCTGGAAATACCTGTCTCTCTTTGGACTGGTAGCCCTGATGAATGATCTGTCACAGATTGATTTAATTTGTGCACTGACAGTACACTTAATTTTTCTCATCCAAATTGTAGATTCAGTCCAAGTTTGTACCTCCCACTGAATTCAGCAGTAATTAAGTACCCGAGACAGACTCAATAGCTTTCTATACCTCTTTCTCTTAGCCTAAATTCTGTATTATATAGGAATTATGAAGAAGGTGGTCAAGTAAATGAGGCTGATGAATAGAAATACTGAGATTTTTCTCAAACTTATTTGCTAATCAGGAAAGTTTCCAATTTCAGTGATATCTTAGGGGCTTATTTCCAAGTATTCAGGGTCTAACTTTATATTTGTGTGACAGATAAAGTGACTCCTGAAGACTTTTCCCTCTTTTGGGTCAGTACCATGTGTATACTATGTGCCTAGTTGACAGGCAGATAGTCAGATACATCACAGAACCGAGAAGGTTATTCAATTTTGGCCAAATTTCCCTAAATAGAAGGAAGAAGCTTTGGAAATCTGACCATCTTCAGTGCCATCTACTGGGCAACATTCCGAGGAGTAGCAGGACCAAAAACTCTTCTGTCTGTTGCTTGTCACATTTGAGTCATAAATATTAGTGGATAAAAAGTTGCAAATGTAGTATTTCCTTGATCCCTTAAATCACCATCCCCCAAATAAGCGGATCTAAGTTGTATAATAACCAAAATATTAATGAATCTCTGACCAGGCTTGCAGGTATGGACACGTCCAACACCTGGAGCACCTCCTCTTCTATGGCGCAGACATGTGCGCCCAGAACGCCTCAGGAAACACGGCCCTGCACATCTGTGCTCTCTACAACCAGGTGAGACCCTGTGCCCCAGAGTTCCACTGTCCTCCTTCAGTGACAGAAAGGTTCCCTGGGGGAGTTGAGAGATTGTGGAACCATGGAATCGTGGAGTGGTTTGCAGTGGAACGGACCTTGAAGATCATCTTGTTCCAACCCCCCGCCGTGGGCAGGAACACCTTCCACTGGCCCAGGTTGCTCCAATTCCTGTCCAACCTGGCCTTGAACACTTCCAGGGATGGGGCAGCCACAGCTTCTCTGGGCAACTAGTTCCAGTTCTTCACAGGGAAGAATTTTTTCCTAATATCTGCTCTAAACCTACTCTCAGTTTGAACCCATTCCCCCTTGTCCTGGCACTCAGGCTCTTGTAAATAGTCTCACTCCATCTTTCCTGTAAGTTCCCTTCAAGAAAGCAACTTAAGGGAAAGATGGGGCAAGACTGCTGTGCTTGGGGTCCCCTCTGCCTGGCTGAGTGGGGAGGGATGTCTTACTTTGAGGGAAGGTAAGTCCAGTCCCACTGGAAACCAGTGTTGTGAGAGAACAGCACGCAGCCAGAAAAAAAAAGGCCTAATTGAGGTACAAATGCTAAAATTTCCATGTCCATCCACAAAAACAGAGGCTTGGAGAGTTTCCTGTTGAAAAAGTTTACTAGTTTGATGTTAGGTTTTCCTGAGATGCAATTTCCTCACTTTTAATAAATGCATTTGGGATAAATATCCGATTGTTATTGATCTACAGAGGCAAGTTACAGTTAAGAGCAACCCATTATTTTTAATTTGATTTACTTAATATGCAATGAAGTGTTTCAGGTTTTAAAAAGTGGTCTTAAAAACTAGAAAGAATGTAATTAAAAACCTGGTTTATTTGTGTTTTATTCACTGATTACAAATAAGGCTGCTCACTGTAGGTAGCAAGAAATACATATTAAATAGAAAATCAAACAATATATTCTACCAGCTTTTTTTTTTTTTGGCATCATATCTAAATAGTTGTTTCCTATACAGAATTTATTGCTGGTCTGCTGGAATCTAAATTAGAATTAAATAAGAAACAATTAGAAAATACCGTGGAAATGTCTCTGTGGTTTATACAGAAGATTCTTTGCTGTTTACAACTTGTGTAGTAATTTACAAATAATAGAATGATTTAATTTTATAGCATTTTATATTCTCAGGGATGAGATGGGGAGGGAATGAGTTTTACAACTATGTTAAAATTCAACACATATAATATTACATTGAATTAGGAAAGCACGAGATGTGACTGTAAATAGTGAAACATCTGCTTCTTAATTAAATACCATCCTAGTTTTTTCCTAATGTCTTGTCAAGACAGATTCCTCAATGAAGTGTAAAATACCTTCAACCTCTTTAAAAAAAAAGGAATTTTGGGGACAATTTGGCATTTTTCAAGACTACTGACAAAACAAAAATTTTACATTTAGGCTTCACATCGAGATCTTAACATGTATAATTGAAGCATTTATATTGAAAATTATTTTAAAATATTAATTCTAACCTCATTTATTTCACTCTTCCTGAGTAAGAATTTCAAAGCCCAGACCGTAACACATATATAAACTTAAAATCCTGATTTTTTTTTGGTAACTGTTTTATTGCAGTGGCCATAGTTGTTTACAAGACCATACACTTCTAGCAAAGATTAAGCAGTATGAGATCTTCCATAGAATAATTAATAATTAATTAATATAATTCTAATAATGAATTACAATAATCCCATGGTGTGATAGTATTTTCCACACAGGGATGTGTTTTCCTGACCTCAGTGGAAGAAATTGTTCTGTTGAAGATTTTCAGACTCCAATTGAAACTGCATCTAAAAATTTGGAAATATTTTCATAGTGATTAAGCTTGGCTTTGTGAATGGAATTTTAACATCTTATCTATGCAGTCATCTGTCTGTTTTCCTTAGTTGAGTGTATGTGGGAATAAAAAGTGTTTTCGTAAGGCTCTGGGAAGCATAACCTGATTTTTTTCAGTGTTTGGTTTTTTTTTTAATTGGAAGTTGTTATTTGTTCCTGTGGAAGGAACGGTGCTGGCCTTTTCTGGCTGGAGAGGATGGGAAGGACATCAATATCCTTGTTACCTCCAGATTCCTGTAGATGGAGTCATTACCCATTTGATTTTCCCTTCCAGTCTTCCCTGGGGAATTTTCTTGGGATACTTCCTGAAGTTGGTCAGTCTGTTTTCCTGAGTGTCATCTAAGTCCTGATCCCAGTAAACCCTTGGTTTTGAAAGTCATTTCATGGCCTTGCAGTATCTCAGTGCATCTTATGTCTTTGTGTTCTGCAAACAAAAATTCTGAGATGAAATGTGCCCTCTTCACTGAGGGTTGGATTCTAAATGACAATTGTTGTAATATTAAATCAGGTAATTGGCTCTCAGACAACAAATTGAATCTAATCTACTGCCAAGCAAACAGTTCTCTATGAAATTCTTTTTAATCTTATGAAGCCTAGAAAGCTACTACATATTCAGTTTATGATATAATAAATGAACAATACTAAGCTCTCAATATCAGAAGTTATTAGGTTGTCAGAGCTAAAACACGTGCAAAAGGAGTTCTGGCATTTATAGGCAGCACCCTTACAACAGAGAGTTTTAAAATGTGGAATTTCCATTGAATTAGTACAGAAAAGTAATCAAAATAATTTCCAACAGTGCCTTTTTTGCTTATTCTCCCTGATTTATTCCCCTTGATACTCAGCAGATGGGTACAACACAAAAAGGAGAGAGGATGAAGCTAAAAATGCTTCTGTTTGTTTCAAAAGAATAAAGAAAAAATAAATAAGGAAATGAAACAATAAAAATAAGGTTTTTTGGATTTTTTTTATCTTGAACAACTCTGTGGCTTCTGGCAAAACTTTTCTAATCAAAACCATTTAATTAATAAATCTCTTTGCATGTTTTTGTTTTGTTGAAGACAAATCAGTTAAATTTATGGGGAGTTTTTAAATGTGTAATTATTTTTGTTTTGTAATGTTGAACTATTTATTCTGATAATCAAATGAATAATCAGCCAATAAACACAATATATTTCTGAATATAATTATGTCCTTGATCAAAGTTGGGCATTGATCATCCTGTATTTAGAGATACAGAGAACACACCTGAGGTGCAGATTTCAGTGCAAGCAAAGGAGACTATTTCAGTTAATTATATATAATTCAAAAATTATTGTTAACATACCATCTTGAGACAGGATCCAATCTGTTATTTCAGTCAGAAACTTCCTTTCCAGATAACTTAGGGCAGCCCTGGGATGAAGGAAACTTAATGGGATAAAGAATCCAGTGTGGTAAATCAGAAAACACAATGACAAAAATTATTCTCAGTCATAATTGCTGCACATTAACCTGTGACTGAAAGTCTGGTAAATAAGCTTCATTTCTGTCACTTAAACAGCTGAATTATGGGATTGTTTTCTCTGACTGCACATTTGCTGCTCAAAGTGAAAGGTGGTGCATCAAAATACCTCCTTAGGTAGAACCCCATAACACAACAAGTCAAGAAATCCAGAAAGCACAACAAAATTAATAGCAATATTTATGGTTAGGAAATAAAAAACCATTTTGAAATGGGAATTGGTTTGCAGGGGGTCCCAAGAGGAATGTTAAAGATGGCAGGTAGGAAATAAAGTCTATACAAGAATCACCCAGAATTCTGAGAACCCACTCAGAGCCACAGGGGATTTCTGCCGGATTATGGTCAGTCATATTTAATGGCAAGTGGAAATTAGTGACTTAAACAATACACTATAAAAATAAATCGTTTTTAAGGCATTTCCTTTGCAGATTTTCTCAGTTTGGAGGGTCTAAAGCCCAACTTTTCTCTTTTCAGAAGGGCTGCATTTGGTTTGCACTGTAACTCTTAGTATTTTTTAGGGGAAAAGAGGGACAGTAAGACAGGTCAGTGCAGTATCCAGAGATAGATCAAATAATTTCAGGTGTATTAAAAAAAAATTCACACATAACAATTTTAAAACTGAAGATAGGTTGAAAAAAACCCCAAGAAAATAAGTGGTAAAAATGCTTTGTTTAATTTCTAGCAGCAGGGAAGGATATAACTCATCCCAGGAACTGCTTGCTGCACTGTTTTTCCTACAAAATAGGCAAAAACCATCTAGGAGTCAAATTTCATTTTGAAATAACATATTTTCTGCAAAGTCTGATTTGTCAAATATGGAATTTTCTCAGTACAGTTTCTTAAAAAATTAATAAGATGTTTACCTCTTGCATTTCTCCACAAATTTTTTATACTTACATATTGTTTCTAGTCTGATACACTGCTAAGCACCTGAAGTCCTGTTATATTTAAAATACTATTTTAACAACTGAAGTTCTCAGATTATTTAATTTATTTTTGTATCAATTATTTGTATTTTATTTAAATAGTCTTTTATGACTGTATATATACTTTACATGACTATATACCACACAGCAACACATCTCACAGCCTCTTAGCAGTCATAGTCTTTTACTTAAAGACCCTTATTTGCCTGAAGACCCTTATTAACAAGTTTGCTTTTCTCTCATTTCCAGGAGAGCTGTGCAAGAGTCCTGCTGTTCCGGGGAGCCAACAAGGAGATTAAGAATTACAACAGCCAGTCTCCATTTCAGGTAAAAAACCCCAAATATTCCTTTCCCCTTGAAATATTTGGAAGAAAATATCGTGCAGACTTGGTTTTGTGGAGAATTTACAGTGCTCAAGGCTGAAAACAGTTGCAGAGTGAGATAACTCTCCTTTTGAAAACTTTGGCTTTTTGTAGTGCAATAAATGTGTTCTGGAATAGTTAGGAATGAGAGAAAAACACTCTCTTAGCAGGTCTGGTGACACTGTTAATGAGTTTGAGGATTGTGAGAGCTGTTGGTGACAAAGCATGAAATCTTTGGTGTTCTGTGGTTGGATGTGCCTTGCTTTGTGTTTATCTCCAGTCCCATGTAAGACAGATTCAAGATTCCATATAAGAGGAATCCAAGGACTGACTGGGCAGCTTGACATCTATTGGTTTAACCAGAAAAAAGCTCTTACTTCCTTGGATGTGAGGCCAAAGTTGGGCCTTAGTTGGGCTAAGTTTCACACATGGGATTAATTTAATGCACTGTCAGAGGTTGAAGTTGTCATCTATTCTCTCCAAAATAAAATGAAGTCTTCCTTTGGATTAGTCAATTACTAGACCTTTTTTCTCCACTATTTTCTTAAATTAAAGTACTTTCAGAAAGCTTATTTAAAAATCCAAATGGAAGAGAATTGTTTGTCCAAAGGGTTGTCAGGCATGGCTGACACCCCTAAGCCCTTCCTTCTGAAGCAGGATTAATTAGTCTGGATTTCAGGGAAACACTCATAATGCAAATTGATATGTGAGAAATAGGGACAGAAGCTGGAATGTTTCAAAAAAAAAAAAGAACAGAAAAAGTTTTTTTCTGGTTACAAAAACCAGTGATTCTGGATGAATGAAATAGTTGGAATAACTATATTCATGTGGATCTCTGATAACATCTCTGAGTTACAGCCTTTTAAAACACCCCAAGTATTTCTGTATCAGTTTAATTATCTCCCTGTTTTGAAGGTTTTCCAGACCTAAGTTTTACATCTCAAGAGCTTAAGAGTTCCTCTTGCAAATCCCAGCCACATCATGGTTTACTTTTGGGACCATCTTCCCCAAATTGGGGAAACATTTAATTTTAGGCACCATTTTTTGGACTGCTAATAGTTTGCCATCTAAATATATGTCAATATGTCAATATATGTCAATTCAGTAAGTACTGCATAATGCTTATCACTGCACCTCAGAATTATGGAATGATCAAAAAATGGAATAAGAGAAAACCCCAATTATTGGAGAGATGGGTTCCAGAGTTCTCTCTTGGATTATAATATTTTATTTTATTACCTTATATCTTTGAGATTCAATTTTCTTTTTCTTTTAGAATTTTTTGGGAAAGGGTAAATGGCACATAAAAGAGTTTCCATTTGTCTTCTTTGTGCTGACTGCTGCAAAATTCCTGTATTTCCTCTTAGAACAGAAAAATACAGAAGAAAAAGGCAGAAAAAAAAATATTTGTAAAAGCTGTTGCTGATGGTTGTAGGGCATCAAGAAGTGAGGGATGGCTACCAAGAACTAAATATAATGAAGTGAACATGGGAGACAGAAGAAATAATAAGTGAACTATGTCCTATCCATATGGAATAAAATAGTTTGTTATTATTTAATATTTGTTACACTTCTGTTTCTTGTGCTTTTGGCTTGTTGCTCTCCCCCTAATCGGACAGAAGCACTGACATTTAGGTTGGCTTTGTTTTACCCTTTCTGGATCCATGTATTTGTAAAAAGGAAATTACTTCCCATCTTTTCACTCTGTGGAGTCTTCCTTCAGGTGTAGTGGATAAGGTTTCAGTTCTAGTTTTCCTGAGTGGAGTGAGTAGAGGAAACCCTGACTCCAGCACTGCGATAAAGCAGCCTCGGAATTAATTCTTTGCCATCTGTCTGTTGCTGACCCAGTCGATCAAACAGCACGAGTGGAGCTGTTATAAAATTATGCAGAATCCCCTTGAGTTAGTAGGATTTTGCATACTAAAAATGTTTGCTCATGTCATCAGTAGTGAGAAACACCGAGGCAGCTCATATGTACATAGCGAGAGCAGTTGTAGCTGCAGCATCTATTCCTCTGAGTAACCCCCATTATGTTCTTTTCTCAGCAATCTGAAAGGACGATTCTTTTCTGAATTGCTGCTTAGAAAAATGATGATATGAAAACTGTGCTGTTCTGTAAGACAAAAGGATCCAGACATGGAGAAGTTTGTGTGTTGCTTGCAAGGCCTGCCAAGGCTTTGTTTGTTTTGATGAAAACGAGCAGCAGAGTTCGTATCAGGCATTAGTGTCCGATAAATGAGGTGTGATTTTGCCACCAAAAAAACAGATGCGCACAAGTGTTCACTTCTTATTAAAACAAGCATGGCTATACTGGATCATATGGAAGGAAGACAAATGTGGGCTGAACTCTGTGCCACTTAGTTCAGGGATCCCACATTGTGCACTCATCTCTGCCTGGGATCTTGCTGAAATTTTGCTTTTTCAAGGCAGAGTTCATGTTGGAATGGCATTGCCAGGTGTTGAGGACATCAAAAAGCTTGTCTATATTTCCCACTTAAGCACCTAAGGTTTGTTAGCTGCCTCTGCAGGAATGTGTTTCATCCTGACTGAATATTGGAGTCCATTAAGTCAGTAATGTCACCCACAGCTGAAAGTTTGCAGAACGGTTCAGCAGAAATTTTTCTGTGTGTTTGTTTTATTGTATGGTCTTCCCTCTGCTAATAAGTATTAAAATTTGTATGGATGTGGGGTGAACCTCCTCTCTCCATCCTCCCTGTTCATGTTCCAAGTATATCAGAACAATTCCTGCATCACCATCCTCAGTGCAAGTGTGAGAATTTTTTGTGTACTGTGCAATTTGGTGATTACCTAAATAGAGGTAAGATGAAACCTGTGCAATATGGTTATACTATACTGCCAGTTCTGTTTATTAATCACTTATCCATCCCATCTTGGCTGGGTAATCTAAGTTCCTTACATGTTATTTTATTAGTAAAACCTCCCCAAATATCCTTTCAGAAAAGCCATGATATCCTATCACTGTCCATAGCTACTTAGTTTTCCCCACATTTCATGTGCTCCTAATGTAAAAAAAATTGTTGTCTATCTGGCAAACATTAATCCAGTAACTCAGCAATCTCAGTTTTGCAGTGTTTACGAGCTGTTGTAATTCTGGTTTTTGAGTTAAAATGAACATACACCTTGTTTACCATGTTTTTCCTTTTTCTTCTAGTAGCAGCAGCTCTATATGATAATTCATATGTTTTTATATGGGCTATAGAGCACTATTTTAGCCAATAGCACTAATAATAAATGTTTTAAAAGCAAATGTGTTAAAATATGCAGAACTATACTGAGGTGGCATTTAGTGACATCTTTTAGTGGCAGGGTTGCACCTGAGAGTAATTTGTACCTCAGATGTACCTTATTATTGCCCTTTGCTGTCCCAAACCAGCATAGAAAATCAATGTGTTTACATTACATAGATGACAGGAGGAGCAGCAATCTTCTGCAGGTAGAATTGTTCCTTTCAGTGTGTTGGCTGCACATCTATTTTCAATTGCTCATATTTTTGCCAGATTTGAATCATTTGAGATTAAATGTTCCATGCCTGGTGTCTCAGGCAACATTGTTCGGAAAAAAACCAAAATGATTCAGCTATTTCAGAGTCTGGGTGAGGGAAAACATGTGTTGTTTTGCTCCTGCTGAAAAGCTCTGCTGACCCACCTCTCCTTGTCCCATCTGCCCTGTTGTGTTGTGTTGTGGTGTTTGCTTTTGTTTTCTTTAATTGCCCTGCACTCCATTGGTGTTCTCCTTGTTAAATCCTGGCACTGGGAAGTGGTTTGAGTCTGACTCAAATACAGGGGCTCCAAAACCAGATTCCAGATTTGGAAGCTGAGCTGGCCTGGGGGTAGAATAGACAGACACAACTGGGAATGGATAAGTCGATGTGGAGCATGGAGATGGGTGAGACAACACGAGACTGGCTGGGAGGCCAAGCCCGAAAAAGGAGAGTGAATGGAGCAAGATGAAGGTTGATAAATGGTCTTTGGGAAATTTTTAGTCATCAAGGGCAGAAGGGAATAAGATTAAGATTAGAGGGGATATTGGGACTGTGTGAAAAAAGGGAGTCTTAGCTGGGTAATGATGGTGGGGATGAAGCCTTGAACTTGGAAACTGGGAAGGATGGGGCTGTCTCAAGGTGGGTGGGTGTGTAGTGCTCCCAGCCTTGCTGGTGCTCTGTGAAAAAACAGCCTTGTTTAATATCCAGCATATCACTGGAATGGCTTCCCAAACCCCACTTTTGATTTAGGTTTTTGCACTTTTACATTTCCATCTTTTTGATGAAATTTACAGGCAAAGGACAAGAAGTTGTTCTCAGGTGGTTTTTGTCTTACTTATTTTTGAAGGGTAAGAAAGCTAATTTTAAAACTAAAAACCTCTACTCGGTGCCTCAAAAAAGCATCTTTACAAATATAAAGCAATGCTTTCTCTCATGATGTTAAACTATGTAACTGTTGTGTTAATGGAACATATGAATTACACCAGACTTTGTTTTTGCCAGGTGTTTATTTTCCTCCTCATTCCTCTCCTGAAGCACCTGTGTGAAGGATGCATCACTGAATATTGGGTATTATTGGCAACAACTATAGCTATGATCTCATGATGCATTCTGCCTTTAGTCAGACTTCAAGCTTTCTCCAGCTTTTGTTCTGATTTGAGTCAACTAGTGGAATTTATTCATGCTTACTTTGGTTAGTTTATTTTTCAAATCTATACAAGTGACTGTCCCAGTACAAACCATGGATTTTTCCTTTAAAAATAAAAAGGTATGTGAGCATATAGACATACTTAACACAATAATAATAAAAACAGGGCTCTCATGGTGATATATCCAGACATAACAATGATTAATTACGATATGGTTTCTCATCCCTTACCTTGAAGTGTTATTTATACAGAGAAACACATGTTCTCCTTTGAGAAAACATGTTTTTTTGAATTTTATACCTTGCCTCGGGAGCT